TGACCAGGATGGTCTCGATCTCTTGACCTCGTGATCCACCTGCCTCGGCCTCCCAAAGTGCTGGGATTATAGGCGTGAGCCACCGCGCCTGGCCTCCAATGACTATTCTTTAGTCTACTTCATGGCTCTTACTCTGCCTGTCAAAAATGTCTAGTATCCTAAATTGAAATCCAGCCGTATTCTCATCCCACATTCATTGTGGGCAATCGCAACCATTCTATGATATTAACTTTCACCTGAAAACTCCCAAGTCTGATTCTCTCATCCTAGCCTTTCTTTGGAGCTCCAGACCCTTATAGTCCAGTGGTGCATGAGACCCTTTCACTTGTACGTCTTATAAGCATCTTGACCTCACCACCAAAATTCATCATTTTCCCCTTGTGACCAATTTTTCATCCAATATTAGCCACCTCTTATAAAATAGTGCCACATTTACCTAATCATTTAGCCCTGGCTACATTTATTTGAAATAATACTTATGTAGTACTTAGTATGTGACAGGAAGTGCTCTCAGTACCTTTTTTTTCTCACTTTCATCAATCTAATTAGTCATCAGGTCTAGTTAAATCTGTAATCTTTAATACAGTTCCATCTGGTGCCCTCTTCATTTCTGTTGCCAGTAACTTACTTTCACCAACTTATGGTTTTGGTTCTTTCTCTAACAACTAAAAGTCTCTTGTCTCTCTTGCTTTCAGTTTTGCACCCTTCCAGTTCATTCACCACACCACTTTTAGAGTATTTCTAGAAAGCTAGTAAGACTACATTACTCCTCTGCTTAAATCCAGAAAGAGCATTTAATTGCCCAACTACTATGCATTGCCACAGTTTACTGGGTGCTCCAAATGGCTTACAGGAGTACCAGCATACTGATCTCTTCAGTTACCGGGGTGGCCAGGAAGGCTGATGTCCTTAGCCTAGTCTCTTTTGCTTACCAGTGTGCATACAGATTTTATTTACGTACGGTGACATTTCTGGAAAAGCACACTGCCCTATAAAGTTTAAATTCCTCAGCATATTTCAGTTACTCTCTACTCTGTTTGCCCCACCTCTGCCACTCTTGTTGCCCAGGCTGGAATGCACCCACCTTCATTTATTTGCAGTTTCCTGAAATGGTTTTCTGATCCCTTGTTTATATACTCTATCCCTCAAGGTCCATTTCCTCTTTGCTATTCAACTTCAGACAGTCCACAGAGACAGCTCTGCTATTGGCTACTCAAGGAAGCTATCTTTAACATCCCACCTCCAAAGTCCCTATGTACAAAGTTTATTTTCGTCAAGGCAACATGTCTTTCTCATTACACTTTACAGTAAAAAATGCCTTTTATCTGGCATGGTCCCATTTTTGCGACATAAAGCCTGGCCCAGTGTGCAGCACTCAATGAATGCTTGCTTGAATGTGCTAACTTCTCAAAGTTTCCTTACCCAGAGAAATTCACGTACCACTTCTCTTTGTTTTGCAGAATTGGTAGGATCATGCAAAGTATTTATCTTTAAGTACTAAGCCTTTACAGATATACAGTATCACGACAATTTGTATAGGGGATTTTTGTGAAAACTCTGTAAAACCATTCAGGTAAAACAGCCGTAGGATTCAGGAAACATACAAGGAAACCAACTTTTGGCCATAAAGACCCGTTAGCCTATGGATTCCAGTGAGGCTTCCCCACCGGTAAGTCTGTGCCCCCATCTGAGAAGGAGGTGATCCATACAGACCCAGTTCTGTACCGCGCTTTGTTCAGTTCTCTGCGTCTCTGAAATGTCTGGTGGAGCTGACACAGAACACAAAATCCAGATCCTGAGAGATCTACATAAAAGAGGGGAACTCGAGGAAGCGCAGGAAAATGGGGCAACAGCACCACCTCCAAGTACCATGATCCTTGGATCGCTGAGAAAGTATGGAGGTCTTGCATGGGTATAGGAGACCAAGACAGCGCCTACACAGAGTCGGGGGGGGGAAACTAAAAACTGAACACTTCTCTAAGGGAAAGGAAATAGTTGGTCCGCAATGCACAGGACACTGGAGAAACTTCCATATGCTAATGCACTTGGGCCGGCTTCTCTGCTGCCTCTCTAGGAATCTTGGAGGATCCATCAGTCTCAGTGGTTTATTTGTGCACATGACCTGGCTGGCCTTTGTAAGCTCAGAAGTGGCCCCCAAAAAGCTCAGGCCAACCGGGGTATTCAGCAGCCACTCAGTCTGGGTTGACTTCTCTCTCTCCTTGGCTGAAGACACTTAACTACTCTCACTGGATCCTGACGCACCTACGGTTCCCTAGGACCTTGGTTCTCCGAGGTCTCAGGCATCAGGGTCTTTCCCTCTGTCCTCAGGGAGATTCCTTAATTCTGCCCCAGCAAGCACCGTAGAGCCCAACCAAGCTCCTGGGATGGCTGATGGGGGTGTATGGTCTAGGCACAGGCACACTCAGAGCTCCTCCCACATTCCTGGTCATGACTCTCAGAAGATAAAGGGCTTTCAAAGTAAAAAAACCCAACCAACCAACCCTGGGTCAGTTATTATATGTACCACACCAATTGTCCAGTTACCTTCACTCTGCCCCGCCAAGGGTCAAATGCAATAATCAACACTCACCTGAGGAAAGTGGAGACAAGAGGGGAAGATGTTGGCTTGCTCTCCATTGTTTTAAACCTGTTTAAATAAATCAGGTCCCCCCAAGTAACTATCCCTCACTACATACCCCTCTACAATGAGTTAGCAGAAGTCAGGGGTGGTAAGGGGAGGCCACTGCCACCCCTATACCTGCAGTTGTGCTGAGCACAATCACAATTGAGGAATGATCTTGAGGCAGTTTTTGAATAGCTGCCTGAAGATCTACTGACACACTTAAGGCAAGGTCAGCTGTCTTTGGTACCATTCAGTGGCAAAAGGGCTCCTCTCCACAGCCAACAAAGGATGTGATAAATTATGAAACTACTTGGTATAATATCTGCCCCCTTCCCCTTCACCCAACTACTTGCTTAAAATGGCTGTTTGCCCTAACATTGTAAGCTTCTGATTCAGTCCTCTATCTTCTCACTTTCTTCTACAGCATAAGGTTGAACACTGTACTCTATTGGTTCCTATACCACTGAAACACTCCTGTGCTTCCAGGACATCATCCACCTTGTCTGGTAAACCATTCACTCAATAGGTTCATCTTTGGTAACTAGCTATGTAAAGAATGGGTTTGTCTTAACAGGGGGTTTGGGTGAGGGGCCCTGTGTTTGTTTTGCAGACATATTATCCCATCCTTTCTTGTCTAATCCAATACATCTATTACTGGGGGCTATCTTGGGCTAGGTGGCTACACCTAAGTCTCCAACAGCCTTTTTCATGTTCTGCATTCGTTTTCATGACAGAACATTGTAATCTTTCTGATTCTCTGTCTCTTCTATCTCCTTGGTTGAAAAAATACTGCCTACTGTAAAAATTATTAGTATAGGGACCACACATCCTGGTTTATGCCTGTTGTCTTGGTGTAATTATTAACAGCACTCCTTTTCATTTTCAGTGAAAAGATTCTCAGGTTCTGTTTCAGAAACTGATTCAGTAGGTCAATGCAGATTCTCAGGTTCTGTCTCAGAAACTGAATGAGTAGGTCTGGGGTGAGGCTCAGAAAACTGCAGTTCAGACAAACAACCCAGGTGACTGTAGTGCAGGTATCATCAAGAAATAGTGTCTTCAACACTGCCCATTGGCAGTTGACATAGAAAACTAGGGATAGGTTCAAAGAGACCTAAAAATCACAGAGTTTTATAGACTATGCTTTTCTCCCTATCCATTTTATGGGAAATAATAAAATGTGTGAGGAGTAAAGGGCAGTGAGATTATTTTCACTGCTTAAACAATAGCATCTAAAAACTTAGACCAGATAAATAAGAGAGATTTCTAATAATGAAGATGAAGCATGTTTCTTGGCAACAATCTGTCCCTGCGTCTATCTTTTTACTTTTTCCTTTGGTCACCATTTTTTGTCCAATCTAGAGTTTTAGCATCTAACTTTACCATCTGATTCCTTTTTATGTCCTCATATTTTTTTCTTTTTTCTTTCCATCCCACTTTGTTGCTGCTGTTGTTTGCAGATGCCTACAATGAGTCTCAGGGTTCCAAGTGTAAGTGTCTATGAAACCATATATAATTCACAGTGATCTCTGTTCATAATTGGTTTCCTTTTCAAATTTTTTAAGGTGATAAAAGATTACTACAAGTTCTTAAGCATTTGAACTTCGCTTTTCTCATTTAGGTATGATATTTGCTAAGCTCTTAAAATATCTTTTTAAAGCTAATATTTTCTTACCAGACAAACACTAAACTCATTCTGAAAGTACAGGGCCTTCTCAGTGTGGCTCCTACCTACCATCTCCCACTGTCTGTTGATCCAGCCAAACTCAAAAACTCTCGATTCTTTAGCATATCTTTGATAGGTCTTGCCTCACCCTGTCCCCTCTGATCAAAAGATATTCCTCTACTCCCCATCTCCCTCTCCAAAAAAAAAAACAACTTATTTTTTCTCAATTAATAGTTCAACATTTAACCAATGAAACAAGTATATTGGTACATATTTTATATCTCAAAATTATTCCACAGAAAAGATTTCATATTTTATAATAGATTTAATTTTAGATACATTTTCCTTTTAAAATCTCCTTAGAGGTAATTTTTGTCTTTTTAGAAAATGTAAAACAACCTTCCACTATAAACTTTAATATATTTTTTAAAGAAAAAGTATAATCAGATACAGAAAATAGGAGTCATTTGCAAATGTAAAATATGAACAGATACTTGATATTACTGGAATCTTGACCAAGAAATCAAAATTATAGCGAGTTTTCAGAGCTCTATTTACAGCTCTAGGCTAATGCGGTTGCAAGATTCTCAGTTATTTCTTGATGCAGCATCCACTGTCCTGAACAGTGCTCAAAGGGGTGTCAGACTGTCCTCAAGAACCAGTAAGTTTATTTAAATGGATTTGAATCAATATTTCCTACATCTTGCTCAGCCGTAGAACGGTGACTACTCTGCTCTTTCAGACTAGACTTTTCAAGGGAACAGAAAGCGGTAGATACTGGTCCAGGAAACACCTGAAAAGAGGTCTGTGCTAGAGTCTTAATGGGTTGAATAAAGGAGCCAGGGTAGTAAAAATGGGAGAGAGAAGTGAGAGAAATTTAGAAATGTGAAAGGGAGACAACTAAGAACTTCTGTCCAAGAAGAACTAGAATAATCGCAGAAGCAGCCAATGTCTACATGCCATTGTCTATCAGTTAAGTCAAATATTATTTTTCAATTACTGAGGAATGTGCACCCTAGATAAAAGATTACCATAAGAGAATCTACACAATTACTATCAGAAAACAAGGGACGCTAGTTTGTTAACTGTCAAGTCATTTTAATCATGTTAAGCATCATTGCATTCTAAGTGGTATTTCTGTCTCTACAGCATATGTAACATATTTTGCTTCTTAAGATTTTCCTGTTGTTGAGAAAGACAAGATATTTTGAGAGCTGTGAGAAAACAAGCACAAAACAAATCAAACATCCAACATTCAGGTGCAGGTATGAAAATTCATTCCTTAGAAATACATCCTTCAGGCTGGGCATGGTGGCTCATGCCTGTAATCCAAGCACTTTGGAAGCCAAGGCGGGTGGATCACCTGAGGTTGGGAGTTCAAGACCAGCCTGACCAACATGGTAAAATCCCGTCTTTATTAAAAAAAAATACATCCTTCAAAAACCTCATCTGTTCATATTTTAAATCTTTTAAGACCTGATGTAATGGAATTAGCCAAACATGCTGCTTCAACTTATAGAGAGGCATTTAAGATATTTATTAACTCTGAATACTATAGAATATGTATTATATGACTTTATGGAATATGTATTTACTTAAGAAGTTGATGTTACTTGAAACTTAAGTCTACTATATTTTTCTTTACTCAAAAATCTGTAGCTATTTCTCTTGGAAATAATTTAACCTCAAGACAATAAAAAAATACTCTTGAGGAAATATAAGATTTTTTATAGGCGTGGCGTGGTGGCTCATGCCTATAATCCCAGCACTTTGGGATGCCGAGGCGGGCAGATCATGAGGTCAGGTGATCAAGACCATCCAAAAAAAACAATACAGAAATTAGCTGGGCGTGGTAGCATGCATCTGTAGCTGGGAGGCTGAGGCAGAAGAATCACTTGAACCGGGAGGTGGAGGTTGCAGTGAGCTGAGATTGCATCACTGCACTCCAGCCTGGTGTCAGAGCATGATTCCATCTCAAAAAAAAAAAAAAGATTTTTTATAATACCCACAATTAGCCTCAAGTACTGACACAAACAGTTTGAAATGTCAAGTGTAAGAATATGTGATGATAGAACCAAATACACTAAGCTGAAAAATACCACCCATCACTTCTCCATTTCTTTGTAGAAGAATTATGTGCAATTCTGGTTGCCCACACCTTGTTTCCTAGCTCATATAAAAGTTGTTAGCTTTTGAACAGAAGAAACTTAACTTGGACTAAACTTGAATGAAACAATATGTAACATTCTTAAATAGTGATTTTTTTTTCATCTATTGGAGTCTGTCAAATAAACTATGGAGAATGAACAAATAAAATCCTATTAACTTATTAAAAAAATAAAGAAGGTCTGTGTTACGATGTGGACATCTCTAAAAATTATATTCTTTCAAGAAAACAGCAAGGTATTAGAACAGTATAAATAATATGCTTTTTGAGTAATGGAGGAAATAAGATTATACATTCCTATTTCCTTACATTTACGGAAAGAAACACTAAAAGATACATAAGAAAATAATAAAATGGCTACCTATAAAGGGAAGAAGTAGACCTTTTTGTATTATTTTGATTTTTGAATCAGGCGAAGAATGAATTATCTTTTTTAAAAAAGTCCTCCTAAGTAAATTAAATTTTAAAAGTTAAAAATAATCATTACAAAAATAAATAAAATGCTTCCAGTGAGGATTAAGTGACGACAGTCTTTCCTGGACTCCACTGTAAATTAAATAGAAGGGTTGTACATTTATTGAAACATACAAATGGGGGACATTTGTTGAGCAACTTCAATGACTTATAAGTCCAATAAATTTCATATACTTGTAATTTTAATTTGGTGATATAATCCTCCCAGTGGCTTAGTAGAAAGAGTGTTACACAAAGAATTAGGTGACAGGGTTCTAGTTCCAGCTCTGCTTTTAACTGGCTCTATGATCTTAGTCACTTCTCAGAACTTCTTTTTATCTGTCAAATAAAGGCATGCAGAAGTGATCTCTAGGGACCCTTAGAGTGATTCTGTTATTCTTAAGTTACCTGTTGTATACTGGGTATTTGGGTGTATTCCAAACTCGATTCTTTTCACCATAGGTTTTTCATTTCTTTGTCTCCTGGACCTTGTATAAAGCTTTGCAAAGAGTTACTTAGTCAATGTTGAGAAAGAAATTTTTTTATGTATGACCTTGGTGTTAATCAATAGTAAATGCTGAGAAATGTGGAGGCCATAAAATCAAACAACATGAAAGAGTGATCATACTCTTCTCTTCCCTGATGTTTCAAATTTTCCATACAAAATATTGAATAAAGTAGAAAAAGGCAAAAACAAAAAATGCTCATTATATGTTAATGGAAAAAACACAAAGAGGCCTATATTTTCCAATCAAAAGTCTCAGGTGAGATAACAGATTTTTAGCTAAGTTTCTTAGCTCTGTGTAAATTTAAAATCATCAGCAATATTTGTTATGAAGAGCCACTGAGCTGCTAATAACATATGGTTGCTTCAATTTCTTAGTTCCTGACTAAAGGCTAAAACTAAAAAATCTACAGCAATCTAACTTACTATAAATCTACATTTATACAGGAAGATTCATCTGCCCTTTTTGTAGGTTAAAAAGCAAATGATCATATCTTATGTGAATGGAAAGTAGTCAGGTAACCTATATTATGAATTTTATTATTATTATTTTTAAATACTCAGTGAACTGCCTTTGAGATTATTTTATACTCAGGCTACATATAATTATTTTAAAACTTAAAAAAAAAAAGTTTTAATAAACTAGGATGAAGTTTTCCTGAAATACACTTAGAAAACCTCTTGCCCAGATGTGTATGAAACTAGGTCTACAGCATATATAATGAAGTCAACACAAGAGACAGTATTCAGTATCGCAAAGCTGAGGATGTCACCGACCAGAGAACTCAGCAGATGTATTTAAGATATTATGCTTTTCTCTGCATAAAAATAAGGGAATTTTTACTGGTTTTCCCCTGACTTTCTATGCTAGAGGACACAGCAGGGACAAAGAAAGAAACAGTACCCTTGCCATCTTGGCTAGTGGTCATATGTAAGGAAATTTTTCCCTACCTGTTCCAAGGAGTTAGCTTGATTCAGCCACAGGGTGGACTTTCCGATGCTGGATTAGGTTGCAATGGTAAATGAAGTTCTTGCCACATTCTTCACATTCATAAGGTCTCTCTCCAGTATGAATTCTCTGATGCTTAATGAGGACTGAACGTCGACTAAAACTCTTACTGCACTGATTACACTGGTAAGGTTTCTCCCCAGTGTGAATTCTGAGGTGATGGAAAAGCCCGGCGTTCTGACTGAAGGCTTTGCCACAAACACTGCACTGGTAGCGTTTCTCCCCAGTGTGGAGTCTCTGGTGCTGGAACAGGCCTGACCGCTGGCTGAAGGCCCGCCCACACTCGGCACATTCATAAGGCTTCTCACCGGTGTGTGTTCTCTGGTGCTCAATAAGAATGGAATTCTGGGTGAAGCTTTTTCCACATTCACTACAGATATGGGGTCTCTCCACTGAAGAGCTCACCCTTTGCTTTTCCAGTCTGCCCTCATGGTCACAGATATCTCCATACTCAGGCATCTGAGTAATATTACCATTCAGTTTTCCAGGAACTTGTACAAGAGATTTCACTTCCTGAGAAATCTCCTTTGGGGCTAACTCCACATTCCAAGTCCCAGCCTTGCCATCTAAAATAATGATAACATGAAAGATAACATGAAGTATGAAAGATAACAAAAAAAGTGGCCAGGAGAATGGGTGGAAGGGGACAAGTAGCCACTTTTTCTGTTTATTTTTTCACTCTAAAACTATTATACCCAGACCTCAGGGAAAAGATGCACTGTATTATAACTGCTTACTTAATTGTCTGCCTCTCCCACTAGACTGTAAACTTCATGGGAGCAGGGACCACATCAGTCTTGTTTATCACTGTACCCCTGGTACCTGGCATAGTGCCTGGCATACAGCAGACACTAAATAAATGTGTTGAATTGATAAATATTCAGAGAATGGGGTAGGCTCTCTGAGGAAATTCTAATCCTCACCAATCTCCTGAACTGGGCACACCTCTTGCAAATTATACTGACATTGCTCTTCCAAGGCTTGGAATTGGCCATTTGATGACTCCTGATCTGATCTTGGAGTTGCCTTCTCCTTTACAAACTCTTCCTCGTCATAAGCATGGGTCAGGACCTGGTGGAAATCAAGAACAGTTGGGAACCAAGTATCAGACAGAACACTGCAAGGAGGCCTTCTCAGGGCCACTGGATAGAAAAGAAGGACCAAGAAGTTGGCAAAGAAAAAACAGAGGCAGAGAGTTTAAAAGCCTACAGGAGATTAAGTCTGGCATAAAAAAATCCTCTTCTTGTTACACTGAAATCCCATACTTGTTCTTACAGATACAAACACCTGTTCTCCTGTCTTCTCACCTGCTCTCCTGGTTCATCCAGCTCTCTCTCCAAATCCTCCAGCACAGTCACTGCCTCCTCTCCACTCAGAGGATGGTATGCTCTCACCCAGGCCTGGAGCTCCTCAGGCAGGATAGTCAGGAACTGCTCCAGCACCAGCAGCTCCAGGATCTGCTCCTTCGTGTGCATCTCCGGTCTCAGCCACTGATGGCAGAGCTCCTGGAGTCTTCGAAGAGCCTCCCGGGGCCCAGGGGTTTCCTGATAGCAGAACTGCCTGAAGCGTCGACGAAAGATCTCTCTAGTATGAGGTTTATTTCTTGACAGGCCTGATTCTGGCCGACAGGAGTGTCCCTCCTCTTCCTCCTTTACCTTCACTGCCAGAAGTCCTTCCTGCATCTCTGCAGTCTGAAGGGTCAAGGTTATGGACATCAAAGGTTTAACTATTCAGAAAAAGAATCTATTCTTGGTAATTCTCCCTTGATCTTTTCTTCTGGAAACCCCGAGATCTAGACAATAATTTGCAAAGAAAAAAATATAAAAATGCAGAAAACCTCAGGACAAGGAGGAAATGGAGTATTTATACTAAAATCAGCCACTTTGTCTCATGAAGAAGGAACGTCGAAATTTGATTAATAATAGATACTTTGGACATACAAATCCAGATAGAAGAAAAAGAGAAATGGAAGAAACAAAAACTCCTACAGTTTACTAAATGAAGATACTGTTTCAATCATCCTGAATGAAACAGCTCAAATCAGCTTGAGTATATTGGGTTTTAACTTGAATGGCAAGATGCTAAATTCAAGGCAAATTTTCGCCGTATGAGGGTAAACAAGCACTTTGGGCCCAAGTGGTCACAGATGACACCAAGAATCAAGGAGAAAAAGGAAATAAATGGAGGATGGAGGGAAAGTAAAGAAGATAAAAAGTAAGAATGTTAAGCAATGCCCTTAGAGAGGAGAGGCAGAGTCCCTCCAATCATGGGAGGGATGGAGGAGAGAGATCTAGGTTTAACATGTGGAAGGTACTGGGCTGAGAAATCATCCTGCTGGTATTCCCTCCAAAGTCTTGGGCTTCATGTTTTGAGCCTTGGTCTCTTCGTTCTATAAAATAGGAATCCTAAAACCAACACTGCGTATCTTTCTAGGTTGATACAAAGATAAAATGAGGATAATGAGCACAATGAAGCTGGGTGTTTAGTAAACTCTAAAGTGGTAACACTGTTATTTTTCTTATGTTATTGTAAGATTAAATGAATATCTTGGTGGTTTAAGCGCTAAGACAAAAGAATCAAAGTAGTTGACTGTAGTGGTCTAGGCTCAGAGATATTAAAATGAACGAAATACTGATTCTAGTACTTTAAAACAGGAGTAGAATTTGAGCTTTTTGTTGCCCTTTAATTTCTTGGAAATTTTTTCTCTTTGAAGCTACTTGAAGGTAGAGAGTGGGCAATTTTATGTAAAATAAAATTACTGCTAATAAAAAGACAAATGTCTATGACTCCTGAGGTGAGGAGTTCGAGACCAGCCTGGCCAATGTGACGACACCCTGTCTCTACTAAAAAATACAAAAATTAGCTGGGCGTGGTGGCACGTGCCTGTAATCCCCGCTACTGGGGAGGCTGAGGCTGGAGAATCACTTGAACCCAGGAGGCAGAGATTGCGGTGAGCCAAGATCATATCACTATACTCCAGCCTGGGCAACAGAGCGAGACTCTGTCTCAAAAGAAAAAACAAAAATAAAAATAAAGAAACTTATGAGCAATCTTAAACTAGGATAGTACTTAATGAAGGCAATTTTCTGAAAGAAAAACAATTATGTGACCCACTGATTTCTAAGCAGCATTTGAAGCAGAGACTTTCAAACTTTTTTGACCAGGACCCTTATTAAGAAATATTTTATATTATAACCCAGAACATACATGCACATTCATATGAGTGTATGTTTGTGCATTTATGAGATATACAAATAACTGAAATAATACTTTTGCAAAACAATATGTATGCTTGCTCTATATCGTGACATACAATTATTTTTTAAACCTATTTCATTAAAAGATAAAAAAGCTTGGGAACAGATTTTATGACCCACAAATGAAAAATAACCTGTAGAATAAAATATTTTTAATTATAAGAAAATTATTGTAATCCATTGCAAAAATAACCCTACACTATTCTGTTTGTTTGGGTTCTTTGTTGTTGTTATTTGTTTTGAGACAGAGTCTCACTCTGTCACCCAAGCTGGAGTCCAGTGGCACGATCTTGGCTCACTGCAACCTCCGCCCCCTGGGTTCAAGCAATTCTCCTGCCTCAGCCTCCTGAGTAGCTGGGATTACAGGTGACCGCTACCATGCCAGGCTAATTTTTGTATTTTTAGTAGAGATGAGGTTTCACCACGTTGGCCAGGCTGGTCTTGAACTCCTGACCTCAGATGATCCACCCACCTTGGTCTCCCAAAGTGCTGGGATTACAGGCATGAGCCACTGTGCCCAGCAACCCTACACTGTTCTTAGGTATTGACATTGATTGTGAAATTAAATAACTAAGGATAGGGTATTTTATTAGCCTGCTCTCATGCTGCTAAAAAAGACATACCCAAGACTGGGTAATTTATGAAGGAAAAAGGTTTAATTGACTCACTGTTCAGCACGGCTGGAGAGGCCTCAGGAAACTTACAATCATGGTGGAAGGGGAAGCAAACATGTTCTTCACATGGCAGCAGCAGGGAGAAGTGCCGAGGAGAGGGAAAAGCCCCTTATAAAACCATCAGAAGTGCCGAGGAGAGGGAAAAGCCCCTTATAAAACCATCAGCTGTCATGAGAACTCACTATCACGAGAACAGCATGAAGGTACCTGCCCCATAATTAAATTACCTCCCACCAGGTCCCTCCCACAACACATGGGGATTATGGGAACTTGGGAACTAGAATTCAAGATGAGATTTGGCTGGGGACACAGCCAAACCATGTCAGGTATTTAAATTACAAGTGAACACTGATCATATTACAACTAGAAGAAAAGTTAGATTCATGTTGTGATTATATTTATCAAAGGGCAAAAAGCTACTGGCATGGGACAGCATCCTTCTGGATAACCTGCACACATAATCCTCTCCATAACGTTCTGAGATCTTTGGTTTGGTTGCCTTTTATAATCACTACCCCAGAAATTGTACAAAGAATTTTTTCTCTAAAGACAGAATCCTCAAATTCATATTTCCCCCCACTTTTATTCCCCTTCCCCCTTCCCTCCTCCCTCCTTCCTTCCTTTTTTCCTTTTCTTTCCCTCCCTTCCTCCTTTCCTCTCTTTCTGAGACGGAGTCTCGCCCTGTCGCCCAGGCTGGAGTGCAATGGTGCAATCTCGGCTTACTGCAGCTTCTGCCTCCTGGGTTCAAATGATTCTCTTGCTTCAGCCTCCCGAGTAGCTGGGATTACAGGGACTCACCACAAAGCCCAGCTCTTTTTTTCTTTTTAATTGAGATGGGGTTTCTCCATGTTGTCCGGGCTGGTCTCAAACTCCTGACCTTGTGATCTGTCTGCCTTGGCCTCCCAAAGTGCTAGTATTACAGGCATGAGCCACCATGCCAGGCCTTCCCCTGCTTTTCTTGATGTGGACTCACCACTACTGTGACTACCATATTATCTTTTTCTGTCATAACTTTTCATATAACACTCGTTCATTTAGCAAATGTTTATTGAGAGCCTATCATATTCTAACTACTGTTCTAGGCACTAGGGATGTGGCTGCAATTATAACAAAGTCCCTAGTCTCATGGAATTGACATTCTAATAACAATATTAATAATAGCAGACATTTATAGTGCTTTTAACATGCCAGGTATTGTTACGGATGCTTTATATATACTAAACCATTTAATCCTCAAAACAACCATGAAGAAGGTGCTATTATTACCACCATAGCACAGATGAGAAAACTCAGATACAAAAAATTTAGGTTACTAGTCCAAAGTCCAAGTCAGTTACAGGTAGAAGTAATGAAGCTGCAATTCAAACCCAACAAATCTGACTTCAGAATTTACAGTCTCCACTGCTATAACACTAACTCTCTGTTGGGGAAAGAAGAGGCCAGGATGAGGAAAAGGGGTCCAGGAGGCAGAAAATAATTAAGTATTTGTGAAATAGTGATAAATGCTGTAAAGAAAATAAAGGGAAAGGAGAGAGTAAGGGGAATGAAAGCTTGCTATTTTATAGAGTCAGGGAAGGCCTTGATAAGGTAATGGTTGAACAGTTCTGTGGGAAGTGAGAAGCAAGTCACATGTCTATCTAGAGAAAGACTGTTCCCGCAAAGGGAACTGCAAGTGCAAAGTGTTGCAGGTGGGAACATGCCTTGATTTTTCAATAATCGCTAGTTGAACAAGGGCAATGATACAAAAAAAACAAAAGGAAAAGTGATGGGAGATAAAGCAAGGAGTTTGGAAACAGATCATGAAAGGCAGTGGTAAGGGCTCTAGCTTGTACTCTATGAGATATGGAAACCACCGAGGATTTTGAGCCAAGGGGTAACAAAATTTTACTTACATTTAATATAAAAGCATAACTCTAGCTGCCGTGTCAGTGACCTTGGGGCTAAGTGGAAGCAGAGAGGAATGCTGTGACAATCATCCAGGGAAGAGATGGTCACGGCTTGAAACCTGGTCTGCTGAATTTGTTATAGGGTAAGAAAGTTTTGTGGTACAAATATCAAATAGCTAAATTCAGAATATGTACTCTCACATTAGTCAGTAAACGTACCATAGATTCAAGGGATGAAACAGTCACTCATGCTTTCTTTTTTTCAACTTTCTAGGCTCTGAAAAATGTCTTTTCTTATTTATCACTTGTGCCTCTTGGTTTCCAAGTCAAACCTTTTCTATTCAAAGACAATGCAGCTGAAGCTTAGACTTCTGCCCAGAAAAATTCATTTCTGAGATGTGGTGTTTCAAATATTCAATTTCACAAATATAAATTTCCCTATTTTCTCTGTATACTCTGGGTTCATTTTTGCCTTCCTTCAACTGATTTTGCTTTTATCTTGTGGACTTAGTACCCAGATCCTTGCACCAGCATATATGAGTTCTTCTTTGAACCCAGTGTCTCCAAAAGGCTTCCCCAGTTTTTTATAATCCTGCCCCCCCGGTCACATCAAGTTCCTAATTTCCCATTCAGGATCACCACCTCAGTGTATATACCAAGTATATAATTAGCACAATAATCTGCATTTTAAAGTTGGTTCCCCCTAGAGCCTCAGCAAGCTCAACATCCCCAAATCTACCATCATCCTCATGGACGGATGCTCTTTACCAAGGCTATGCATGTAGGTGAAGACTAAGCAGCACACAATATAAATGTGCCTTTATCACCATACACCCAACAACCCTCACCTCTGCTGATACCATCTCTGGCTTCTCACTAATTGGATGAATTCCCAAACTCTCAAGCACAGCTTAAAACCAGTCAGACCTTTAGCTTCTGTTGTCTGGCTCCACTGTTGCTTTCCTCTGTTCCACAAGCAGAACCCTCAGTTCCAGTCAGGCTTTCTTTCTCACTATTCTAATCAGGCTTTTCTCATCCCTGTGCCATGACCTTGCTCTTGCCTTATGCCCTCATTCAAACCCTATCCAGTCTCTGCAGCTTGATTCAAATCGCACATCCTCTCTGAAGTCTTCGTTATCCATTTCAGCTCACTCTCCTTTGTCATGTACTGTATGAGTCATATCTTTCACCATCAGTCACAATTCATCTTTACCGTTACTTCTCTTCAGAACCATTTTTTTAAATCCAAAAAGTAGAGCGGAATACATAATTCCTTCACCAAGTTCTACTACCCCAAAATAAACAGTCTTAAAGACTGGAATGTGTCTTTTTCATTTTCTATAAATTTGCAATCATACATACACATGTATACACATGTGCACACATACATAGAGTTGATATAAGCCCATATATTTTATTTACCTTAGATAAGCAGAAGGTAGTATGAGGTAGCAAAGAACACGGGCAGATATGGTTATGAATTTTTTTTCTTTTGAGATGGAGTCTTGCTCTGTTGCCCAGGCTGGAGTGCAGTGGCAGGATCTTGGCTCACTGTAACCTCCACCTCCCAGGTTCAAGCAATCCTCCTGCCTCAGCCTCCTGGATAGTTGGGATTACAGGTGCCACCACCACTTCTGGCTACTTCTTGTATTTTTAGTAGAGACAGAGTTTCACCATACAGGTCAGGCTGGTCTTGAACTTCTGACCTCAGGTGATTCGCCCACCTCAGCCCCCCAAAGTGCTGGGATTACAGGCATGAGCCACCACAGCCCGCCCCTTGTAAATTCTAACACAGTGATCTTGGGCAAGTTACTTGATTTTTCTAAGCCTCAAGCTCATACATGAAATGAGGGCAACAACTACCTTGCCAACTTGTTGAGAATATTAAATGAGATAATGCACAGAAAATGTTTTTTTTTTGCACAAAGCCTGGCCTCGAATATAAACCTGCAAATTAATCTTTTAATGAGATAATGTGCAATTTTGGTACAATGGTGGCTTAATTAATAGTTGCTACCTTCCCTTAGGGCCAAGACTGTAATCTTTTCTGTTGCCCAAAGAACAAGATGAGTGGGCAAAAACAAGCACACAAATCAATAAAATGGCCATTTTATCATGTTTGCAGACACACTGAAAGATATGTGTCTTCAGATGTATTCTCCTCTCCAAGTAAATCCTAACTAGAAACCCAGGACGACTGAGGTCCAAAAGAAAGACCGGATTCAAATGAGCCAGGTTAATCTCCCAGGCTATGGCTATTAAGCTAATACACAGACTGGAGTGAGCATAGCAAAGGTTTTAAGAAAATGGACTCTGGAGCCACAGTGCCTGGATTTGAATCCTTCCTACAGCCCTTACTAGCTTTATGACCTTGGGCAAGTTACTTAACTTCATTTTATTCTTGTAGGTTAATTTTAAAAAGAGGCAGGACAGGGAGGTGGGGCATAGTCTACATAATAACAGTACCTATCTTACAGAGTTATGAGAAACATAGTATTTGGGACGTGCTTAGAACAGGGCTGGGCTGGCACATAGTAAATGCTATTTATTCTTTTGGAAAAAAATCGATAGCAGCAAGACCAAGAAAGGCTGCGGCATCTTGTAAAACTATCTCTGTTCATTCTTTAAAATAAGTGCACAGTACACATTTTTTCATATCCGAATCTGTCGGATCCTAAGATGCAGACAGGGAGAGTTCAGAGTGCCCCCAGTACCAGGGCTGAAAGGCTGAAGAACGCAGGAACAGAAACGGGTGGAGGAAAGGGGAGGAGCAACGACGCGGACTCGGGGAACAGGCCCGTCCAGGCTCCGGAGAAACCCCCTCTGCCCTCCCCTGCCCGGCCCATCTCCGACCGAGAAGCCCCTGCCGCCAAATCCCCATACCCGGTCCGGGTCGCAGCGCACAGGCCGGCCGTTCCGAAGCCCCTCAGCGGCAGCCCGACTCCGAGGCTCAGCGCGGCATCCGCGAGAGGAGACGCCACCTAGCGCAGGTCACGGCGCTTCCGAATCCCCGACTGCAGCCGCGGGGAGATGCGACAAAGGCCGGAAGTGCGTCACCGCGGCGCGTTCTCCCCGGAACGCGGGCTCGGAAGGCCGGCGGTCTCCTCACCCGTGGTCGTGCGTCCCCGTCTGCAGGCGTAGTGAGATGCTAGGTGACCGTGTTCCAGGCGGCAGTGTCACAGCGGCTAACATAGTGTTGTAACACGTGTTAATTCATACTCTGCCTGACAACCCTGCGAGTTAGGTACCGTTATCTCCATTTAACCGGTGTGTGTGTGTCTATATATATATATTCTAGCTCTTGTATACACACACACATATACATATATACATATATGTACATATATATGTAAATGGAGGATTTTATGAGATGCTTTCTGTTCAAAAACAACTCCACAGAATTCCTTTTCATTTTTCACCGTTGCACATTTTTTTTCTTTCCCGCCACTGTGAAAACTCTGGCTCCCAATAGCATAAAGAAATTCACTAAATTTACTCTATCTTACAAACAAAATAGTTTCAGCTGGGCGCTGTGGCTCAAGCCTGTAATCCCAGCACTTTGGGAGGCCGAGGCGGGCGGATCACCTGAGATCAAGAGTTGAAGACCAACCTGACCAACATGGAAAATCCCCACCTCTACTAAAAAACCCCCCACAAAATTAGCTGGCATGGTGGCACATGCCTGTAATTCCAGCTACTTGGGAGGCTGAGGCAGGAGAATTGCTTGAACCCAGGAGGTGGAGGTTGCAGTGAGCTGAGATGGAGCTATTGCACTCCAGCCTGGGCAACAAGAGTGAAACTCCATCTCAAAAAAAGTTTCAAGATTATAATACCAATATATCGATAAATGGCAATAACATATCTACTGCATAGAGTTCAAAATTTCTTTGCTTGTTTTGTTTTTTAATTATATCCTGTTAAGGGAGTATAGTCAAAGAACTGGATAAATGTCTTTTTTT